TAAAGCACTCCTTTTATCATGCCCTATAGAATGGGGAAAGTGAATCAAGAAAGAGAAGAAGAGGATTTGATTCTGGAGTGGATGAAAGTGAGATAGTTTTCTAGAAAATTTGATGGTTGAAAATAAAATTAATAATAATTTTGTCTGTGTCATTTTTCTCTCTCTCCCAAGCATACAATTACCTGATATTATTATATTACACTACATATGTATCTCTTTTTCTTTCTTTTTTGTTTGATATTGCCATTTTGTCACTATAAGGCTAACAGAGCGATTAAAAAAGGAGGAAGAGAATCACACATTGACAGTGATGGGCACTTTTCTCTCATTAATTAAATCATTCGTAATTAAATTTTAATTTATCATTTATTGCAATTCTTCACTTAATATTATTAAAATTATTTCACATCATCGATATGTAAGAATTGGGATGTACATGTGTTACGAGTATTTTTAATTTTTCTTTTTTTACATGCACATTTTGTGGGTGGAGTTTTCTATTTTTAACCCTTTTGGTTTTAGTGCCGGAGATGGAGCAGACGGGGGAACTGGTGACACCTACTACCCTCCCAAAGCTGGACAGCAATCAGAGATACGCCCTGAGCTTAGCAAAGAAATACGCTTAAGAAATTACAGCAAAACATGTGAGTTAATTAAAATGGGCGTTGTCAATCAAATGGGTGTGGTTTTGTGATTATTTTTAAGTATGTCGCTCAATTTAATTTTTTTCAATAAATATGCATTTATTTGATGGTAGCTTTTTTTTGTAACGTGTTATGTCATTTTGTATCTATTTTTAGCAACAAGCGAAGCAGAGTGAAGTACACGTTCAGCAGATGCAGTCATTGCAGGAGGTAGCCAACCAGCAAAGAGCACTACTACTCATGAGCCGGTGAGATACATGTATGTACATGTACATGTACTGTACACGTACATTTAAATGTACAGTGTACAATTTCTTTATTATTTATTTATTGCTCTAGAATTTTTATGCAAATGTAATCACGTGTGTTCAAAAATGATATCCTGATGTAATTATTAGTACAAATCTTCCTTTGATTATCATCATTTATTCTTTTACAAATAATGGTTCTTGAGAGAATTTTATTGTAATTATTTGTATAAATCTCCCTGTGATTTTATCTTCTTGTTCCCCCCCTCTCTCTCCCTCTCTCTCCCTCCATTCCAGTATATACATTGGTAGCATTAACTTTGAACTAGGAGAAGAGGCAGTCCGAGTTGCTTTCTCTCCATTCGGTACCATAAAGACTATCAACATGTCCTGGGACAGTGCTACCATGAAACACAAAGGATACGCTTTCGTGGAATTCGAAACAGCCGAAGCTGCTCAACTAGCCCTAGAGCAGATGACGGGAGTCATAATTGGAGGGAGGAACATTAAAGTGGGACGTCCCAATAATGTCCCCCAGGCTGCTCCAATCATAGCCTCTATTCAGGAGAGTGCTGCTAAACTCCCTCGTATTTATGTGGCTTCTATTCATAAAGACTTGTCAGCTAAAGATGTGAAGAGGTAAGTGATCACTTGTATATGTACATGTACATTTACAATTATTTGTGTGTATTTTCATTTATGTGCAGAGTTTCTTGTCTTTTAAAAAATTGTATAAATCCTCAAGTTCAGAATTTATTTCATTCTCTGCATCATACTATCGATTAATTATTAATTTCATTAATTATTAATTCATTTTTTCTTTCTCAGTGTTTTTGAGGCGTTTGGTAAGATCAAGAAAGTCGAACTAGCCCCAGACACAGCCCCAGGGAAGCACAGGGGGTGGGGCTTCATTGATTACGAGAATCATAAAAGTGCAGCTGATGCTATCTCATCAATGAACCTGTTTGATCTGGGGGGACAGTTCCT